ATGTGTAACATTTTTTTTATATTGACGCTCAATTGTTTTAAAGTAGGGGGTGCTATCTTTCCAGACTTTACGGTACATATATTGTGATTCACTAATTATACTAATTTGAATAATTGTAGTGTATTCATGTTATCACAATCATTGTCTACAAAGGTGTCAATCTAAATGTTGATATCTTGGACTTATCTTCAAGTCGAAATCAAAAAAAATGTCAACACACTAAAAGAAAGTATGATGAAAATATTAAATAAAAATCAATTTATTGAAAGTAATAAAAATACAGTTGATGATGATTTGGGTAATGTTGAATCAGCAACAGATGATCAGCAACAATGGAAAATTTTATTAGAACATGCAAAAAAAATTTTTTGGGTTGTAAATTTTTTTTTTATTAAATAAATTTGCTTGATTTTTCATACATTGTTCATTTTTTGTATCTTAAATTTGTTGTGTTTACAATTATTTCATTGACATTCATTATATTAAGGTTATTTTGATTATATCAAGAGATATGGTCAAGAGAAGAGGTAGGAAGAGAGTTATTCTTCAACCAAGTCAAAACCAACCCTTTGAATACATTTTTGAATAGTAACATTAATTTATTAGACTATTTCAATGGTTGCTTCCAACTTCTTAAATTCGTTAATGAAACAATTGTTGTGAAGTGATTGTTGACAAAATGAATCAAACCCATATATATTTCTACATTATCAAATTCACAATTTTAATTGGTCAATCAACAAATTGCATGGGTTAAAATTCTGTGTTCCCAGAACGGTCTCTCCTGTTGCACAAAGCACATTATCTAACCAAATTTGGTGATTATCTGCAAATGATTAACAAATTAGGTTAGATAATATGTACGAGTTTGTTTCTATCACCTATATCTTTTTATTATAAAATATGATTTCCTATTAAGCCGTTCCTCTGTGTACAGAATTGATAAATTTTTAAACCAAGGTGTAAATAAACATTGTTCTTTTCTAAAATCAGAGTTATTAACTCTGCATCCAGAGAATAGTACATATAATAATAATATTTGATACTGTTTTCCATATGTGTAATGAACTTTGCCAAATAACTTGCAGATTGGTTAAATAACTGCTCAGTAAAGTTCAAATGTTCAGCAAGTTATTTAACTAATTAACTGAATTAACACTTCAAAAGTTCAAATAGTTCAAAAAAAGATTTGAATCAGTTAAATTGCCAACACTGTGAAATTCTGATTGGCTAATTTGAATTTCATGTGTATGAATTGCAACATAGATTTCATTTTCACAACAACAATATCAAAAAAAAATTTCTCCATTAATAATACTATCAATAATAATAAAAATATGCCAGGTCAAAAATAATTTTTTTTATTAGCATTGATGTTAATTAGAGAATAATATATTTTTGGTGACAAATTTCAGATGTGATAAATATTATTGACAAAAAAGGCAAACTACACAATTATACATGCAGCCCAAAGTATTTTGACACTGTATAAAGGGGGTTACACATCTAGTAAAGGGGTGTTACACTTATGTTTTTAATAGTGAATGCTGTAATTAATTTCTACTTTCTACCATCAAAATCACCAAACCAATTTGGGCTGCATGTATATACAGGGTAGGGTTGGAAAATTGAATGGTCCATTGAGAACTGATGGATTTGGACTGGTCCATTGCCATCAATAAAATACAAAATATGGTTAAAGCATTACACTAATGGACCCAATAGACCACCAATAGACCAGAAATGGACCGCATATTTGCCAACCCTGTTACAGGGTAATATTTTTTAATGGTTTTCAATTCAGTAATATATTGATGATGTTCTGTTGCTTCAGCTTCCAAAAAGATGAAAATCTAGAAATATCTTTAAAGATAGCTCATCAATATTTTCCCAAAACTCTATATTTTCAAGTTAAAAATTTAACAACAGGCTATAAAATTCTCATAACAATGATAAAAAAAACTGAATAAACAATTTGCTTTACCAGGACATGCCAAAGCCATAAAACATTTATTGTTTTGAACACAAAAATTGCCTATCATTAGCACTAAAAGGTAAAATAAATACAGTCAGGGAGATTTCCAAATATATAATTTCTAAATACATATTATATATGTATTATCAATTAATTAATATTAAAACATTACATTGGTGATGACAAATTTTATACCTGAAATTTGGTAATACAAATATTTGTTGCTCAACTGAGATTTTTTTTACAACACTATGTAGAAAATTCCGGAAAATTTGAAAATTATCCAATAGAATAAATTTCATAAGAAAAAAAATTTATTATTAATAATAGTAAAACGTTATTATTATTATAAAATGTGTATCTTTTCCTTTTTTAGTAAGATCAACTATGATATTGGTGATATTCATTCGAATAATATTCATGATATTCGAATAATTCCGAATGAATAAATTACCCAGCAATAATCCGCTCCGCGTTTTTATTGTTTTTATTTCAATAATAATATTTATATAAAATAAAAGACATATCAATGCAAATAAGAAGAAGTTACCTCTGGTTAATTATTAACACGTCTTCTTTAGAAGAACCCTGCAATACCACGACATTTACATTCCTTGTCTTGTAAAAAATAATTGTCTTCCAAAAAAAAAAAATCAATCGCGTCAACAAAAAAAATAGGAGGCTTTTTTGTACAATCCATATACATAAATTAATTTTTTTGTGTACAGTACATCCATTATTAATCAACTATTTTTTTTTTAAAAAATAATTATTAATCAACTATTTTTTTTTTAAATATAAATATCAATCAATTATTTTTTTTAATCATGTCAAACCGATTAAAAAAATACAAAAAAAAGAAGTAAAGACAAAGAACCAAGGGAGAGACGCGAGTAAATGGTCATCAAAAGAATGGTGATGGTAGTTATCACCACTCGTTGTCACTCTAGTTTATTTAATTAGTGGAAACGACGAATCTTCAATTAAAGAAAATGAATTTAATGAAGAGGACGAGGTATTTGATAAAATCTCACATGATGTTTTTGGACTGATGTGCATTTGTAAATTAATAATTTATTCTACTTCTCCCCATATATTTCAACTACTCTTTTTGGTTTAGCATAGACTAAATGTACCCGAGGAGGAAGCTGTTGCTGCTACTGCTACTACTACTTGTAGAAGAAATGTCTGTAGTAGTATTAGTAGTAGCAAATCTAACTCATTCATTGGTTTATAATTTAGAAACAAAAGATTCATTGAAAAGAGTAATAATCCGGTTTATTTATTAGTTTTCATTAAATAACTCAATGGGTAAATATAAAACTTATGCCCTTTTTAATTTAGCCTAGGTTAAACCATCCATAAACATACACCATCTTCAACCGAGATGTTAAACCTGCCTCCATTAATAAACGATGATAATTACGAGGTAGAGGAAGAGGAAGAAGAAATTACTGTTATTCGAAATGTTCCTCGTGAATTGTCTTCTGTAGACGAAGTTTTTGAAAGTTATTTCTTCGTAGAAGAACACAACGTATCGAGATTATTCCATGAATCAGGGTTGGCAAATTTACTGGTCCATTAAGAATAGATGGATTTTGGACTGGTCCATTGCCATTAATAAAACACTAAA